ATATGTAATTATCTTCTCTCGTATATAAATAACCATTTCGTTAGGATACAAGTACTGTAAGTAACTTTAAGATATAGGGACTAGAGGCCACATTAGGATACAGGCACTGTAACTAACGTTACGATACAGGCCCTGGAGGCAACATTAGGATACAGGCACTATAACTAACGTTAACATACTGGCCCTGATGATAATTATATGAATAGTTTTCTTCGTGCAGACATGTAATACATAATCTCGCTGTATTTTGGTGTCCTGAAGGCTGCCGCTCGTGGACATGCTAAGATGTCACAAGATATTGCACCTTAAGCACGACCTACAATGAAACTTTTCCTTAATTAATGGCGAAAAGTGTGGTCATTAGATTACATAAACTGGAATGGGTACTTACTCGAGCGTCAAGTTGATCTTCACCTCAGTACTAGGATGAACTGGTCCTCGGTACCAGGTTGATAATCTCTCGGTACTGGGTTGGTATTCCATCGGTACTAGCTAGGGCGGTATTCCTTCTGTACTAGGTTGATAAAATGTTCGTACTAAGTTGATATTCCGTTGGTAGTAGGTTGGTATTCCGTCGGTACTAGGGTGATATTCCATCGATACGTGATTGATCTTCCGTCGGTGCTAAATGTGTGTGTGTGTGTGTGTGTGTGTGTGTGTGTGTGTGTGTGTGTGTGTGTGTGTGTGTGTGTGTGTGTGTGTGTGTGTGTGTGTGTGTGTGTGTGTGTGTGTGTGTGTGTACTCACCTATTTGTACTCACCTATTTGTGCTTGCAGGATCGAGCATTGACTCTTGGATCCCGCCTTTCCAGCTATCGGTTGTTTACAGCAATGACTCCTGTCCCATTTCCCTATCATACCTAGTTTTAAAAGTATGAATAGTATTTGCTTCCACAACCTGTTCCCCAAGTGCATTCCATTTGTGTGTGTGTGTGTGTGTGTGTGTGTGTGTGTGTGTGTGTGTGTGTGTGTGTGTGAAGCCTATTATTCAGGCCTCTAACTCGTGGTTTGATTCTCACGAAGCTCCTGCAGTCTTATTTACAGCCTATGAGTAAAGTATGATCTTCATCACGTTAAGTGCAACAGTTCCTCACAGTACCGGAAGTGTGTGTACTGGCTGACCTTGTTTAGAGGAATTAATGAATCGGGATTGTAAGCTGATTGTTATCACGACTTGAGGAGCGTTTTCGGCCACTTTGAGAGAACAGTCATATAAACAAAGTGTCTAAATAGTGGAGGCTGAAGTTGATGATGTCACAATCAAGCATACTAACAACTGCATCAATGTTGGGGGGGTCAACGACGTTAATTTAACGCTGAATCAACGTCGAAAATGTTGATTCAACGTTACTTGAACGTGTTTTGCCTACTGGGACACGGGCTGGCTTGAAACGTGTGAATATCACACGCTGTCAATCCAGTCCGTTCTCTCAATTTGCCACACCGTACAAAACCCAACGACCGAACCTATCCAAAAATGTACAAACCCAACCCACCCATCTAATCTAACCTAACCTAACCTAACCTAACCTAACCTAACTTAACCTAACCTAACTTTACCTAACCTAATCAACCGATGCATAGAAAAGGTTGTTTATTGTGAGGCGTTGCTTTTCGCAGCAAGTTACATTTGATATGTTGGTTACCATAACGTAGGGTAACGACGCATTGATTGAAAGGACGGGTTGAAAAAAGCGTGTATCTTCTTCAAGAGCCATCAATATTCGGTATGTTAGTCTCTGTCTACACAATGTCTACACCCTGCAACATTCGCAACATTCTGCTGTAGTCGCTTTTGTTCTCAAGCCGCAAAACGTTCGTTCAATTTATGTTGCAAGGAAAATGGAAGGCTCCGTACATCCTAATGGATTTCGGGCTATTCATGCCCGTGCCACCTCTTGGATGGCTTAATCTTCATCAATTAATCAATCCTGACGGATAATTGTTAGGTCACCAGTCGAGTATATTCTGCTCACTTGAGGACGAGTATCTACACCGTGAGGAGTAACCCGCTTCACGGTGTATATACACAACATATATTTTTGTCCTGAATTCTTCAGGACTAAAGTGCATCTGCTGGTCGGCCAGTAAACAAGTATCACGACCCCAACCCCAAACACTCGGTTACCAGGATGTGTTCTGCTTCTCTGTATATAATATATTGAACAGAAAGAACCGAATATACTGTTGTGGACTTTATAACCAACTAAAGACCTTCGTCAGTTGCCAGTTGAGTATATACTATCTTGACCAGACAGAATAGTCTTCGACAAAGGATATGAATAACGAGAGAACTGGAATATACATGTTGGTTACTTGGTCGGTAAACTTTTGTGGTGGACTTAATAATTATACCCTTTTTAGATTGCTAAGCCTGAATCCCAACACTAAATCAATCATTGTAAACCAAATTTGAACTGTGTATAATGATTCTTTCGCGAAACTTATTTCAGTATGTTCCATAATGATTGACACCGATAATTTTTTTTATACTGTCACGAAGTTATGAAAACTATGTGATTCTTCCGCGAAACTTATTTCAGTATGTTCCATAATGATTGACACCGATAAAAAATATTTTGTTTATACTGTCACGAAGTTATGAAAACTATGAATAAAGCACTGCATGTAAGAATTGCAACTTTCAACACGACAACATTATTGGAACGGTCATCACACAGGGCAACACAAATCTAATTTTCAACGTATGAGGCAACATGATTGCAACTTTCAACACATGAGACAACATGAACATACAAAAAAACTTATCTTGAGCATGTGTCGTTACTGCTTCAAAACTCATTCAAAATTGTCTTAAAATTGTCGTTAATATTAATGTTAGTTATCAGTTTGGTTTATGTTCATACCTGCGGCTTTAAACTGTTACGCATCAGAGTTTAACTGATACCAATGAGAACTACTTAGATCAATTATATTATTTATCACAAAAAAATATTATTTCGGCTTTTATATGCGTTAATTAATCAGTAGCTCACCACACACACACAAAAGTCCTCACGTTGCTTGCAGTCTTCGTTAGTATGACAAGGTGCACTTAAAAGTTTTAAAAGCTTCCGTAAATACATAAGATATATTAAATATAAACAAATTAATGTCTCCAAAAAGATTACTTTGATTATTTAACGATCCCCGAAGTATAGAATTTCGGGGCCCAAATTCATCATGTATTTAAACAGTCACATATGAATCCTATACATCTCTCCTCAGTCATGGCGGCTTTTTATACATTTGTTTAACAGTATGCGAGCTCCAGGCACTAGGAGGTTGTTTATAACAATAATAACACTGGGGTTGTGAAGCCTCGTAAACTGTCTAATAAATGTAAACAAAGTCGTCATGATTAAGAGAAGATGTACAGGTCCCGTAAGTGGTTGCGTTAAATGCTTCATTAATCCTGGTCTGGGACATAAAGGTTAGGGAGCAGTGCAGTTAGAGAAAGGCAGAAGACCCTGCAAGGAAATTATCGAAGAGTTAGTATTTAAGAGGTAAAATGTTGGTGGTTCTCATTTCTGCTCGCTAAGAGAAAATTTGAAATTGTTTCTCAGTTTATTTTTATCATCTACTATTCACCTTCCAATAAAGTGAAGTCATCAACAATTCGTCATCAGTAATAGTTATCAGTGATAAACTATATATTGATATATCAATGTGAAGAACAGGTAAAAAACCTGTTAAGGTTCCTACAGTTTTGACAGAAACTGTTCACACGGTCACCCCTTCTGCCACAGGCCAGATATACCAGTGATTAACTTGCAGAGTGACCAGTACACCATATACTACGCAACGTCTATTACTGCCCTTCAGTAAATTTCTTTGGCAACAGATGTGCACAGTAAGAGTTGAGTCATTAACATTGTTGGAGACTAATTTGTACAAAAAATCAGATAATTGGCCTTTGTATCTAATGTCAGGCGTTAGACATTAAACGTTTAACATCTACACGTTTTAGTCACCTACAATTTGGCACATAATATAATTAATCGACCATTAAATATCGGCACGCTAATTATTTAACATCTTATGAGAATTTAACATAATTCTCCTAATTATAGGGGCATATGAAAACTATCACCTAATACTGACAACTTAAAATTTATGAGTTAATCTTATATTCTGAAATGGCTAGAAAGATTCTTTGCTAACGATTTTGGAACTAATGGGAACTGCTGGTTTGTCTATAAACAAGTTATGGTCTTAATTAATATCCCTAGCGGTTGACCAGGTCTTAAATATGATAAGTTCTCACGATATATTTTTATATTAATTCTCGGATTTCCATGACTAAATTTCTAAGTGTTTACAACGAAGAGACGGAAAACTAACTGAGCAAAATATAATTGGAAAGCAAACCACATAATCTGAAAACGTGGACTTTTAAGCAATTAAAACACGGAATCAGCCAGACATGATATAAAAGTCAGTCAATTTGAAACAGCTGCATGGAGTGATTAATATAATATGTACATAATTAATGATTTAGTTTAAATATTGAGAAAATCATTGGGACAGAACGGGGGGGGTCACGAACTAGCATCCTGGGTACGCTATAAGGATATATATCACGCTATTGTGATTTCCTTATATATTAGTTTAAGAGTGATTTCCTTAACTTCTCTGATTCAGTGAACCCTGAAAGGGTGGACAGCGACCTTATTCATCCCGATGGTATATGTTAATTTGTTAAAACTTGACATTTTAACCTAACCAACTCCATCATATATATTAACAAACCGATCAATTTAATATTAATGAAGTTATTAATTTAGATACGTAGTGACCAAATGCTACATATCTTTCAAACTAAAACCCCTTATTTTAGATGACTGATAAATATTTAAATATAAAAGAATATTTCTCAGTAAAAAGTATTATCAGGTGGGAGAGACCGGCGGCCAGCCAGCGAGGAGAATGAGAACCACAATTTGACCTCCGCTAATCGATAGTTTACTTGCAGGAGGTGAGACAGAGTTAGCTTGTTACCTGAGAAGTCGTCCTCCCCCTCGCCTCCTAGAACATAAAGGTCAATTCAGGTCAAGAAAGGTCACACTGAAACATTACAGATAATGCAGAAACATGTAAAGATCGGACACTGCGGTTGGAGGCAGAATTAGGAAAAAATAAATAAATAAATAAATAATAATAATAATAATAATAATAATAATAATAAATTGCGATAAAAGTAAAGACAATGAAAATTTAACATTCTAAATTAATACTAATCAAGATACTTACATAACCTTCTTATCAATAAAATTTATGCGAAATAAAACTTAATACCAATTAGCAAAGAAGTTCTGGCAGCATTTAATATATAATCCGTAACTTAGGAAAGAAAATCTTTTGTATGGAAGATGCACCAAAGTCTAATCCAAAAATAATGTAGCTTACTATCAGAAAATGGTTAGCTTCAATGTAGAAAACGGAGGTTTGAATCAAATGAGGAAATGAAAGATAATTCATAAGAAAAAAACCGTAGTTCGACTAATGAAAAAAGTGATAAGGAATAGACACCTGACTGAGCGCTGAATGCAGTTAGTTATTATTTCTACTCATATTTTATTATACGTTTAAATATTAATCAAATAACAGCATATATAAAAGGTACTTATCGTTGTGATTTTATCAATGTGCATCAATACGTGTCCTGTCTTTTGTGTTAATTAAAATACAAATATATTGGTCGGCCCTAAGTGATACCAATAATCAAAACCTCAATACTTATTTTAAGTTTGAAAATTTTCATTAGTATTTTAAATTGCCAGATTTCCTTCATTTAGATGTTAATTTTCAATGTATGATAGAGCATTCTAGGGGACCAAAACCCGGATGACTCCGCACTTCGCCCAGATGTCATCACACTATACCCCTGGAAGAGGAGCAGACTGCTAATGTGGGACTACTACATCATTTGTGTAGTCCCATTATGACCATTATTTACTTTTGCTTAACATCTAAGCAAGTATACCCTGCTCGCTCTGACGCTAGGATATAACTTCTTGATAAGTAACTTAAATTTACTTTCCATTTATATGTTTCCTAACAACGTCATTCAGTTTCTTTAGTTAAGTTCTGTTAAAGTTAATTTAACGATTTCAGTCGTTTGAACACGTTCATATTGCTCTTTTTCTTGATTCCAAGTCCTTTGTAAGCCTATCCTGCTGAGCTTATAGTCCAAGTTAAATTATATTGCTGTGTCCCATATTCCAGATAAAGCTGTACAGTTTAGTTATAGCCCTCCTGCCGAGCCCCCTAATTCAAATAAAGCCATGTCGAGCTTTTAACTAAAAACTAAAATGTCAAATTTAATTTAACTCTTTATTTTGGAAAACTCATTGTCTAGTTAACACTGTTATATGACCTCGTAGCTTAATTTTAAGTCTTCTGGATAATACTGTCACTTCACCATCCCATTTGACACACACACACACACACACACTCTACTGCACCCTGTAAGAGTAATTATTAATTTTTATTCTTTTGAACCCATTAGGCTAGACGACTTCAACTTCCCAAACTCCTAGTACAGTATTCAGCAACCCTTCTGTAGACTCTCTGCTTCCAGCCATAAACCTTATTTAGTGGGTCACATTTCCCTAGGATCTCACCTTCGTGAATCCAGCGCATGGACCGTTTCTTCCGCTTCATGTACATTGACTGGCCGCGGCTCATCTTGTTATTCTCATCCACCAATGAGAAGGAGATCCTTTGGGCCAGTTCAACTTGGTCGTCAATAGTCGGGTGATCGGGACGGTAAAAGGATGACGAGGCGTAGGCCTTCTCTGTGGGCAAGGAAGAAGGGTGAAAATATATGTAACGAGGGTTTTAGAACAGAACGAGATTCAAGACAGACGGACAGACGGACAGACAGGCAACACATAACAATTCATGGAAGGCATAAATAATAAATAACATTTATTTTCTGTGGGAAGGGAAATGTATATTATTTAAAAAACTCGAACTTAACACTGTAAAAGGGTTTGGAAGAATAGAATATTTACCTACGTCAATCAAAAAACACAGGAATCTTAGTAAAAGGTTTTAGGAACATTATTCACACGTGATCAAATTTAATCAGGAAATAATCACTACAATTATGAATAAACAGAAAGACGAGCCAAATCCCTTTCAAATTGTAAATAAGTTTTGGGAATTTACAGTTATCTTGTGACTCTGGAATGCAGACATTAGTAATAGGATTTGCACAGAGCACCTTGGAAGATATTGCTAGCATCCATTTTAGATGCTAACTTGTTGTTGTTTAAGATTTGCTACTTGGATCTTAAAGTTCCAAGTAGCACGGGCTATGGTGAGCCCATAGATGATGCTAACTGTATAAAATAGATATTCTTTGGTCATAAATCTGTCCCACATCGTTAAATTATTTAGAACTTAAAATTGTTACTCAATAATAGGCTATACATTTTTTTGTTTAGCTGATCTGTTTTTGCAACATCTTTCAGTCAACAACTGGCATTTTTTAGACTCCGGTGAGAAGTTTAGTCAGAACGTGGACAGCACCCGAACGAAATAGAAACACAATATTTAGAAAATCGTGACTGAAAATAAATCAAAATAAACCACCTAACAGCCAGAGTTAACCGTGTGTACACGTCTAAGCATTATGCAAGCTTCTCAGTATGGTAAGTGTACACACAAATTATCTTAATGCATTAAGATAATTATTAACATTAAACTTTTCCAAATGGAAAATGCACCAACCATAATGCTATATGCAGAAGAGGAGTCACAATAATGTGGCTGAAATATGTTGACCAAACCCCACACTAGAAAGTGAAGGGACGACGACGTTTCGGTCCGTCCTGGACCATTCTCAAGTCGATTGTGAGAATGACACAATCGACTTGAGAATGGTCCAGGACGGACCGAAGCGTCATCGTCCCTTCACTTTCTAGTGTGTGGTTTGGTCAACATTATGCCATAATTTTGTTTTAAGACAGAGCCTTTAGTAAGCCTAAAATGCTGCGCCAGATTAATCTTAATTAAATCTATTGTGGTTTTGAAGACCAAATCAGCATTGCTTCTGTGGATAACATTCTCATTCTTTCTCTCCTTGCCTCCCGATTAAGTTGTGGTTTTAATTGCAAAACTGAGGTGATTAGTCAGCAAAATGATCACTTTTAGGCCCTTTGATTTTCGTACATATTTTAGCTCCCTGCATATTCAGGAGTTGGGTGAGACCTTCTTCTTGTGGGCCTTGTAGGACCCAAAACCTGCTGTTTTGGGTCCATTTCATTTGGATTTTTTTTCTAGTACGACAATTATTGACCGTAGCGCATACGAGCAAAACACAACGTTATTTGTAAGAGGACGGGTTGTGATGGTTTTGGAATCTACAAAAAGACATAAACAAATCCACAAGGCCCGTGATGATTTTGTTTGGTTTTACAAAAGGACATCTCTAGATGCTATCAGTGGCTTGATAATTTTAATGTATAGAGCCTAACCTAACCTAACCTAACCTAGAGGACGAAACACTAATCAAAACACAACCTAACCTAATTTACGTTAAACTCAGGCCTAACGTAACGTAACTTAGGCCTAGATAGGTTAAGCTATGCATAGATTATACTAGATTCGGTCACATTGAGTTGTTATTTTAATTTTTTCTTGCCTTGTTCATAAATTATCGTTGTTCTGTTTCTATTTATAAGATTATTATACTGACTATGTTCCAAAAGTTTACATTTCAATATGTACAAATAGGTATAGCACAATTGTGATGCTTAGTTAACAAATACACCTGTGTTCAATGACATGTTATACCAGCATGGTATATCATGCTGAGGCTAGAGAGAAGAGTCAAGGAGAGACACAGAAGCGGATACCACATAATCATCATCAACACGAGGAGCTTTCACAGCTAGGATGCCACTCTGGCATTTCCTAACAAGTTTCTGAGTATTGCTGAGATATGATTTACAGGATCTGAGTTCGTCTGACAATTCAGATATTTTCAATAAACTTAATGTGTGTATCCAAGCTTTAGAGGGAACGACCAGCATGTAGAAGAAATGGTGTGCATGGAATATAATAATACAAGGAAGATATATTCCAACTTATAAAATTGACCTCCTGATGATGTCAAAGCAATCATACAAAATTATACATTTTCATCAGACGCATCAAGCTCCATATGGACCCAATCTCATGCTGATGATTCAACCAATGTGCACACCTGTTTAGTTAACACAGAAGTTTGACGATTTGTATAAGCAGTTACGAATAAAGCAGTTCGTTCTGGTATAACACTTACGAAAGCACAGTAATGACCGCCAACCCCTTGAAGAGTAACTAAAAATATATTTTATGTTCACTAGAAAGACATCGAATAAGGCAAGATATTAATATAGTGAAAAAACCCTTATACAAATAGAGTGCTAAAACTATCAACAGAAAACAGAACGCGAAACATTGTATTCTATTTAAAGAAATTCAAATTTATAAAAGGGTAAACTCTGATGCAGAAATAAGTTCCAGGCTTATGGAACAAATTGCCAAGAAACGGCAGGAAAATGTATTTATTGTAAAGTTTAAAGCATCAGTTAGAAACAAACGATTGGAAGCGAATGGATATAAAATAGGAGCTGCCTTGCATGAGCCAATAGGCTTCCTGCAGATCCCTTTATTCTAATGTTCTTACTTTCTGAACTTGAATCCAAGCAGGCTTTTTCAAGCACTGGTGGATTCTCCTTTGTCATTTTGCGTCTTGTATCTCAAAAGAACAGAAATATAGGTAGCATTATCTGTGAATTCTTGTTGATACCTCCAAAAATCTAATTGGGGGCCTACGATGAGGATGAGCCTATAAGGTCCCGATGAGGTCATAAGAGCTGGATGAAATACAGGATGAGGCGACAAAGATCGGCTGAGGATACAGGATGAAGCTACAAGGGCTGAGTGAAAATACAGGATGAGGTTACAAAGACTCGATGAAGATAAAGGGTGAGGCTACAAAGACTGGATGAGGCTATACAGAATGAGACTATAAAGGCTGGAGGAGGATTCAAGACGAGATTACAATGGCTGGATGAGGATACAGGATGAGGCTATAAGGGCTGGATGAGGTTACAAGAGCTGGATGAGGTTACAAGAGCTGGATGAGGCTACATGACAAACTACAATGCTTCATAAGGCTGCAACGACTGAAGCAAGTTACAAGATGAGGATACAAGATTGAAGCTACAACATTTCGAGTAACCAGATAAGGCTTCAATATTTGGATGAGGCTGCAAAGCTGGGATACTAATACTAATTATTATTAACAATATTAATTCTAATAATAATTATGACAAACATGTACACGACAGAAGATGAAGAGTGAGTCCAAACCAAGAGATATATGACTCAGTCACTTGAGCATAACACGAACAAATAAGGAGCTTCAAGAACCCCTCCCCCCCCCCCCCCGCATGCGATCGTTTACAACACTATCAAAACAAAACGGAAAACTTGTACGTGGCTTATATATTTTTTTTTCTTGTTGCATTTGATCTAATCGACGTCAAAACTACTGGTCGCATACCACAATGCACCGAGTGACCTTAGTGTTTGTAACTCAAATGCCTTTCTGCCGTATTTATTTATTTTGTTTTAATAATTATTAAGGAATATTTGAGGAGTATGTTGACCAGACCAGAAGGTGAAGGGACGACGACGTTTCGGTCCGTCCTGGACCATTCTCAAGTCGATTGTGACTTCGACTTGAGAATGGTCCAGGACGGACCGAAACGTCGTCGTCCTTTCATCTTCTAGTGTTTGTACATACTTTAGCCACGTTATTGTGACTCATCGCCTGCATTTGATGAGTAGGTTAATGATGATAGCAACGAGTTATTGTTGACTTTTTTTATCAATTCTTTCTTTACCCCTGCTACAATTAATTTAGCTGCGATGTTACAGACATCATGTTTTTGCCTTGAGCTTACAGATTTAATTTTTAAATTTGAGCTTCTAGAGATAATACTTAGAAACGAGTCACTGCAAAAGTTGACATTAGCCGCTGGAAATCGTAAGAGAACCGACACAAAATCACCTTCATAGTATTTTCAGTAAATGCATCAGCGCCGGGAAATGGCAAAACCACTCAGTAGTTGAGCAAACGGAATGGTGGCGATGAGAACGAGGTGGGGGTGGGGGGGGTCTCCATGGCACTGAAAGCAAGGTGGAGTGCGGGTGGCACTGAGAGCAGTGGGAGGGGTTGTCTGTGGCACTAAGTGCAAGGTGGAGGGAGTGTCTCCGGCATCGGAGCGATTCTGAGAGGGTGTCTCCGTGGCACTAAGGACAAGTTGGAGGGGGTGTCTCCGTGGCACAGAGAGCAAGTAGGAGAGGGGAACATGACACGACAAGCTAAGGAATTATCAAATATACTTATACATACTTATTATAGTCAAACATATAAGCATGTTAGCAGAAAACATGCAAGCAAAACCGAGCATGAAGCAACATGTTGAACATATAAACATACATACGGATATATTCACACAAACATACATTCACACGCAGAATCGTAAACACATCAACATTACATACAGATGATAAATACACACACACATATATCAAGCAGACTTTCACTGCACCCCACTCGCTGCTACTTACAGGTGGCCGCCCATTTACTACGCTGCTATACAAAATGCTTCCCCGGCAGTGACGCCCTCAGCCCCTATATCCCCACCCTGCCCAAGCAGCACCCCTACAAAAGACCATTTTGCCTTACTGGACGTACTTCTCCTGGGCGTGAGGTCGCCCGAGTCCGTCGCTGGTGTAAACAGCCGCTCCAGGCTGATCTTCTTCTCACCATCCTCTCCATGATCCACCTGCAATCACGAGAAAGAGTTTCAGGTTAAACTTACAATATATAACTCATTCCAATTCCTTATCCAGTAAGTTTTAGTGTTCTAAGGCACAAGGTCCAGAGCTTGCAATAGTCTTTTGAGTTTACAGTACGTGACTATAAACTGAAAAGTTTACAAACTGTTATACTTGGAGCCTGATTGCCTTGTAGTGAGTTGTTAAGTCATTTGGAAAGTGTTTGTGTTGTTGATTTATGAGGTGACGAAGGTAACAGTCACTCGCACGATGAACTAAAGAACATCGAAAAATCTGATTGTCCTCAAAATCTATATACAAAGAGCAGTTCAAAAACAATTTTGCAGGAAAATTTGGAGGCAGAAGAAAATGATATCAAAGAGATATACAATACAGATAAATTTAACTGTATTTGTAACACGGAATTATATATATGTAATTTTCTTAATTTTTCAGCAATTATGGTATTATTTCCCAAGTTAGTTTACGAATATTACATAAAAAAACTAGGCTTTTAGAAAATTAAATGTTTAAAAAACTACAGACCTTTGATATTTATTTGCTTTGCAGGTTTTTTACTCTATTATTTTTTTTTAAATAGTAAAACACCATTAATAAACCAAGAGGTGTATCCCCTTTTCTTGGCGTACAGACACTCAGCGATTACTTTAGTCTACCAGGACGAAAGTAAACCAACGCTTGTTCGTGAGTATCATCATGCACGATTGTATTAACAAATTTGTGGCTGGTTTTAGAGCTATTGTACTAAATCTCAGAAAACTTTCGTAAAATGTTCTCAACTTCTGCATTTTCTCATTTTGCAACATGGCCCCTTTCTTGGAACCATGTTGCCTTGTTTTGTACCATGACGTCTTACTGTGCGCCATAACATCTTACTTAATACCATACGGTCTTGTTTGTACCATATCGCTTTTTGCAAAAATGTTGCATTAATAAAATTTAGGTACAATAATATTTTATTTGTGTAAGATATTAAGATTATGAGTTATTGAAAACTGAAGAGAGAGAGAGAGAGAGAGAGAGAGAGAGAGAGAGAGAGAGAGAGAGAGAGAGAGAGAGAGAGAGAGAGAGAGAGAGAGAGAGAGAGAGAGAGAGAGAGAGAGAGAGAGAGAGAGAGAGAGAGAGAGAGAGAGAGAGAGAGAGAGAGAGAGAGAGAGAGAGAGAGATATCTCAGGTGACTGTAGCCAGCTGTAGCATGGCCGCTCTTGGCTGTTAACGCCTCTGCGTAAATATAGCTATGACGCGACTCCAGAGTTATGCCAACTGCAGCCGGGTATGGTGACATCTCTCTACCTCACTCTCCGTCATCTCCTGTCTAGCATGCACCCCCCCCCCCCTCATCATCATTACATCCCCCAACTCATACTCATCTACCCCTCTCACTCGCTCACTGTCATCCACCCACGTCCCACACTTCGCTCTCTATGTCTCATCCGTTTTTTCCTACTGTCACTGTCCTTATCTATGTCTATATCTTATCTCCTCTTGCCTCAGTGTTCCCGTTGTTCACTTCACCATATTCTTATCTGTCTGTTTTCACATGCTTCAACGGTGAATAGCCATCAGAGTCCAGCACTTGGCTCTGGTTCCAGCACCTGGCTTGCAACCTAAATCTCACCATAATACATATTCCCTCCATTCAAATTTATGCATCGCTGCCCATATATATATATATATATATATATATATATATATATATATATATATATATATATATATATATATATATATATATATATATATATATATAACATAATGGGTTCATATATATATATATATATATATATATATATATATATATATATATATATATATATATATATATATATATATATATATGTATGTATATATATATATATATATATATATATATATATATTTATATATATATATATATATATATATATATATGTATGTATATATATATATATATATATATATATATATATATATATATATATATATATATATATATATATATATATATATGTCGTACCTAGTAGCCAGAACTCACTTCTCAGCCTACTATTCAAGGCCCGATTTGCCTAATAAGCCAAGTTTTCCTGAATTAATATATTTACTATAATTTTTTTCTTATGAAATGGTAAAGCAACCCTTTTCTCTATGTATGAGATCAATTTTTTTTTATTGGAGTTAAAATTAACGTAGATATATGACCGAACCTAACCAACCCTACCTAACCTAACCTAACCTATATTTATAGGTAAGGTTAGGTTAGGTAGCCAAAAAAAGCTAGGTTAGGTTAGGTTAGGTAGACGAAAAAACATTAATTCATGAAAACTTGGCTTATTAGGCAAATCGGGCCTTGAATAGTAGGCTGAGAAGTGCGTTCTGGCTATTAGGTACGACATATATATATATATATATATATATATATATATATATATATATATATATATATATATATATATATATATATATACACATACACTGAGAAGCGGAGTATACCTCTCTGAAAATATCCCCTAGCATGCTCATGTTGACATAGTTATGATATACTTGAGTTGCAGGTGCATCAGCACTGGTGTGGTGGGCTGTGACGCCTCTTGTGATCAGTTTCAAGTACAGACTTCTCTACTTGGCCAATATTCTATGCATCCCATGCCCATGCATGGGCCCATGCATGGGCGGTGGTGGAATGGGTTTGAGGCACATACTGGGTTCAGAAACTGAACCTCATCTTGAGGTTATCTTGAGATGATTTCGGGGCTTAGTGTCCCCTCGGCCCGGTCCTCGACCAGGCTTCCAGCCCCAGGAAGCCAATATATTATATTATATAAGCAGCCCGTGGCAGCGGTCTAACTCTCAGGTATCTATTTACTGCTAGGTAACTGAGGCATCAGAGTGAAAGAAATATTTTGCCCATTTGTCTCCACCTCCACCGGGGATCGAACCCGGAACCTCAGGACTACGAATCCGAAGCGCTGTCCACCCAACTGTCAGGCGCTCATAGTTCGGTTATCTAAGCAAGTGACAATCTTGTGAAGCTAGGTACAAAATGAGACAGTTTTGCTATTTTTCGTTGATCAGGCCGCTAATCACACATTATTCGCAGTATTCGAGTATATAAAACCATTATTCGCAGAATAGTTTTATATACTTGAAAGGAATGCCTTGCTTCTCTGTGAACATGCATTGAAAGATTATTTTATTTTTGAGCTAAAGTATTCTTGCTGGTTGGTCAGGAAGACATTGTAGGGTGGCGTTAATAACCCTTCACATATTGATAGGCTTAATGTCCAACCCTAAACAATCGGATGAAATAATCAACTCACATTATATTCAGCACTATATTCCCCTAGTAAATGGGTGGATAGAGTTCTAAATAAAAAAATCACTAAACATTGTGTAAAGATTACACAACGACAACTGGATGACAGTTCACCAATAATATTACGTCACATTAACACGTTGTTGAGGGCAGCAATCGTGTTAGGCTTGTCGCGGTCCTTCTAGGGCCTCAGGCAAGTAGTGTCGAACGTGATACATGTTAGCAATGCCTTCCCTCGACTCTGTACATATACCACCCACAAGAAATAAATAAATATACTGTCAAATGACGCAGCGAATGAGAGCTCTGATGTAACATTATAAGATTATAACTCGACTGTGCAAGGGTGGTGAAAATATGTTGGAATCATAGGCTTAACTCAAGTAGGCTTTGTGTGCAAAATATGGACCTTTGAAACTTAATAAGTGATGCTTAGGTCCCGTGGCGCAGTGATAAAACACTCGCCTGGCGCTTCGCGAGGGCTTTGGCCAGGGTCCTGCTCGGAGAGATTTGATTGGGCGCTAATCCTCAACTGTAGCCTCTGTTCACCCAGCAGGGAATGGGTACCTGGTTCTTAAACGATTTGGTGGGTCGTATTCCGGGGAAAATTAATATTATGGACCTGTCCGAAACGCTGAGCATGCTAGTGACTTTACAAGAATGTAAGAACTCATGTATATATAAATAAATATGGAAGCATATTGGTTAAAACTTCTGCGTGTGCTTTGAAGAAAAAATTCAGTGAATAGGAGAGGCAATGTTCGTTGCCTTAATAATGGTTTTGTCTTTAAGCAATTTGTTGAATGTTTGGATGAAATCTGTGTATTTGAACAATGAAATTTTTTCCTGTCGTAAATTATGTGATGTTCGGATATGTCAACCTATCCTTAAAAGGTATGCACTTTGGAGGGAACCACATTTATATTGCCAGCTAACGAGAGAATTTCCCTCCTTCAGGTTATACCCGGCGGTGATTAGCTGTGTCACCCCAGGGACAGTGTTCCTCTTGTAGGAGACAACCGCAGCCAGACAACACCAAAACTTGCTGGTCTCCGTGGCACCTCCCTTCCACCCAAGCTTAACAGAATATTGGGACCTCGCCCGTCTCCATCCCTTTCCTTATCTACTTCAGCAGCCCAGTGTTGCTACCTTCAAGACACCCGGAAGACTTCAGACTCAAGGTGAGCCACTTTCTCGTCCTTAACCCTAATAACCTCGTGGAAAGACGCTATTAACCCTGAGTGATGTAGCACCTTTACATTGGTGCAGTGAGTAAGATTTCCTACTCGGTATTCAAGAGGACCTCGCTCACGCTGACTCCAAGTCGTCACCCAGCCAACTGAAGTTGAGAATTACTAGTCCTGTTCAACGGCTTCAATTATCACTTAACTGTTCACCGTACACCCAAGATTTATTCTTCAGAGTTCTTCCTGCTGCAACGCGTTCATCGACGCGTGTTGTCTCCGCGTCGATGACAGTTTAGTTATAACTGTACAACTTTTCAGATTTTTGGAAGGTCATTTCTATTCTGCTGATATTTTCTGGTAATTTCAACGAGTCCAACCACCCAACTACTCGTAATCCCTCGGCAATATTTGCTCCTCCATGGTGACGCTACACTTCTATAGTAAGCATTCTAAGTTATCTACTGCATTTTTTTATGTCTTCTATGCCACCTATTATATTGCTGTTTCA